TATTTTCAGCTTTGAAAGAGCTGTCTTGCAAATGTATATGCAATATGCTCAGTCACAAAATGCTTTCTGAAATTACTCTTTTCCCCCAGATTTTGAGCTTTGCGAGAGAATTCTTTTGAAATACATCTGCAATATGCTCGGTCAAAATATTATATGTCAATGCCTTTCTACCACTAAACTTTTTCAGCAGGTGATGACTGATAATGTTCATAGCTAACCAGTACATCTCTCTTCCCCCCACAACCATTGAACTACCTAGAATTTCCTCATAGCTAATTATCCAGTTGTCCATTCTGTCTTCTGTAGCTACTGAAACAACCAGCGCAACTCCTGAAACAACCAGCACCACTACAACCCCAAGTACAACAATTGGTATGTATCATTCTTCATCAGATCCTGTCACTGATTCCCATAACATCTGAATTGCCTACTGCACACCTTAGTAAATCAGGTTGAGTGATTCATTTAAAGACTCTCTTCACCATAATTTCAGCTTTGAAAGAGTTGTCTTGCAAATGTACATGCAATATGCTCAGTCACAAAATGNATGTCAAATTTCAAACTTAACAAAAATCTGACATATTTACAATATATATTAAAATAAAGATGAGTGTGATGGCAAAACAAATATATAAGAAATAATTTATTTGTCATGAATTAAGTTTATGATATTTGAAGAAATGTGTGATCATGCCCCAGTCAGTGAAAGTGTGTTTCCTACCCCTAGGCTCCAGAGGGTTAAAGGCCAGATTTTCGAAACAGTGGCGATTAGAGTGAGGACGCAATCAAAATAAAAGCTCCAGTGGGAATGGCCAGTACTACACATGTCCTACTAAAATGCACAATCTGATGGAGACAGATGCAGGCAGTTCATTTAAATAATGAGACGCCCATTCTACCAAGGGAAATGCAAAATAAGTCATGTTTTATTTGGCGTTCAGTAATGGCACATTTTGCAGCAAATTGGCTACCGCAAACATTAGTAAATCAGGTTGCGTGATTCATTTGAATACTCTCTTCCCCATATTTTGAGCTTTGAAAGAGTCGTCTTGCAAATGTATGTGCAATATGTTCAGTCACAAAATTACATGTCAATGCCTTTCCTACACTAACTGTTCACGGTGCCCCTTCAGTAAATCTCGATAGCTCTTGCATTGTTTTTGTGCCAAACAACCAATCCAACCAAGGGTTTGTTCAGCAGGTACAGTTTTTGAAAACATTTTTTTTTCAGCAAGTAATACCAAAAGAGGGTCTGTGCTGTCACAAACCATTAAGTAATCTCACCCTAAACAATGATCAAATAATGTGCATGCGGAATTCACTAACTTTTTCAGAAAAGCAGAAATTTAGGTTTATTTGCAGCAATGACTACAGGGACCTGGAATATCCCCTTGTGTTTGTGTTATTTTGTGACTTGTTAAATAACACTTTCTTCTTCCTCTCTTCTGTATCTTCTCCCACTGAAGTAAACTCATGTTCTCTGATTCATTCCCTTATCAGTCTGTTTCATTATATTAATACAGCATGAATGAGTAGGCTTGCAGAATTTGATACATTTTTATTCCTTCCCTCCCTAGTTTCTTCCACCCCCCTCTGTAAACTACCCAGTCTTTCCAATTGTTTCACATTTGCCATATTATTTCTTAGTCATTGAATTAAAGGAAAGTGAAACATTGGATATGGAGAATTTGAGAACA